TGAAGAAAATTGTAAAAAAAGATTAGAATGGTGTTATATTAAAAAAAATTAGTATTTAAAATGGAATACAGTAATCTGGAGTGATGAATCTTACTTTTTATTGTTTTAAAATGACTTACATCATTGGGTTTGATGATGTTTATATGAAAAATATAATATAAGTTGTCTAATTTCAACAGTAAAATTAGAAAATCAAGGTATAATGGTATAGAGATATTTTATAAAAAATAAGATTGAACCTTTGATTTAAGTTTTTGACAAAATTATAGGATCTATATATATTGAAATCCTAAAAAATAATCTTTTATCATTTATTAATGAATTAGATAATAATTTAAAATATATTTTTCAAGATGATAATACTTCAGTTCATCAGGTAAAAATAGTTAAACAATAGTTAGAAAATAATTTAATAACAAATATTTCTTGATCTGCATAATCATCAAATCTTAATCTAATTGAGTATTTATGGGATATTTTAAAAAAAAGAATTTGTAAACATGATCCCATTCAAAAAATCTTGCAGATTTAATAATTATTTTAGAAGAAGAATGAAATCAAATTAAATTAGAAAATTTAGAAAATTTAGTAGAAAGTATACCAAGAAGAATTCAGGCTGTAATAGATAGTGATGGAAATTCAACAAAATATTAATAGTATTAATAAAAAATTGAGACTTTATGAACACATTGGTATAAATTTTATTAAAAGTTATTTAGTAAATTCTTTACTAATAATAAAAACAAAATCAACTTTGAATTTTAAAAATCGCGATGATCAACATATGGTCGGATACTTTTGGCAGGTGAGTGTATATCTCTACTTAATTCAAATAAAATAAGGCTGAGCCAGCTTTCAAAAAAAAAATTATATTATTATTAATCCAATATACAGTATATTTAATAACTATTCGTCATAAAATTTTTGTTTATTTATCTTTTCAATTCTTAAATTAAATTTTCTCACCAATGTAAATAAACATACAGTATATAATACAATAAAAAAAAAAAAATTTTTTTTTTTTGAGATTACCCTTTTTTTTATTCAAATAATAAGAAATTTTAAAAAGAAAGGTTCAAAGATTATTTGTAATCATTCATCAAATTTTCTATTATTGCTATCGCACGTACAACAGGGTTTTTTATTTCAATGGTTTTTTTCGATTTTTTCTAAATCGGTAGATTTTCAAAATTCAATCGGATATATCAAGATATAATGCCAAAAAACTCGTGATGTAATTCATTCGGAAATTCAGGCACCAAACAAGTACGCATAAAGAATAAAGAAAGAAAACCCAATTTCATTATTATAAAGGAGATTTTCGGGTCAGGATTTTGCAGGGAGTATGCATAATTGGTCTAATTGATCGAACATTCTTTGAAGATGTATATTTCGGTCCCTTTGTTTAGACCAATTCGTATGAATCAAGTATATTGAAAAAAATTTGCAGTTGGATGTGGTTTTTTTTTCTTTTGCTAAAGTCAAACGTATATTAGACGAAAATCTGGGAGAGTTTTAACCATAATTGTTAACATTGTAGCGAGCGGTTACTGCAAATAGTAATGTTTCCGATTTTTTTGTTTTGTCGATGACTGAATTAATTAGATAACTTGAATCAAGCTTATTTATATCTTTGCCCTTATAAAGAATTAAATTGTGCACGTTTTCGTTATTCATGAATGAAGTCATGTGAGCGTAGCCTCATCTCCTCGTTGTTTATTAAGCAAATTCATATTATTAACACGGTCGATTGTAATTTGAACAAAGCAAGTAAATCCGCATCCGCACGAATTACTGATGCAGACATGGGGTCGAGAACAATTTCTGTAAAGCGAGTTCTGAAATACGCTAACGGTTGCCGAAGTACGTCGGATTGAGCATACTCATTAAAATTAACCCTTATGGAGCATATCACTTTCGTATTGCGCTGCAAATGGTAAGATGTTCGTTTCTTCGAAGCAATTTCGTATAAAATGCTTTAACCATATTCGTGTCCTTATCGTATTTATATATAAACATGTAAGCGAATTTTTGTTCAGACAGATAAATTTGTGCACGTTATTCAATGGTGGTTATGATGACATCATATTGACGTTACCGTCGAAAGCATCGGATCACTGTACTTTTGCGAGTCGAAAAGCTTTAGGCTCATGATTAATTAATGTGCATTAGAAAAACATTGGAGTTTGATAAATTTATTAAATTTATTTGATATCCCAAGCTAATCTTTATTTTAATCAATATTTCCGCTGCCTGAATTCGTTTTCTATTTAACTTTTTTATTCTAAAAAAAAATGTCGGTGGTGGAAGAAAGTTCGCAGGAGGTTTTGGATCAGCAGAGGACAATAGAGGGCGAGGATGGTGTTCTTATCAATCACAATGTCGGAGAAGACGATTCTTTGAAGGGTCACGAAATGTTTAATATTATCACAAACGCTTCTTCGGATGTGAATCACCAGAAACGCATACTGAAACCCCGAGAGATTGAAAAGACATTTCGCATAATGGCCTTTCGAAAACTTCAAAGACAAGTGATGGGACGTTATCAAAAACGATCAAAATTTCGACTGTTTTGGATCTTTATGTTTGTGACGGCCTTCTCATCTTTGATGGGTGTTGGATTGACCAGGGGGTTGCGTAAGCATCATTCCATTTCTCACATAATATAAAGCTTTTTTTTTTTTTTCTTTATGCTGATTTCAATGTCACCAAATCATAGAGAGCATTAATAGTTTGAGAAGTATTATTGAACTTTGCGTGCTGATCGCAGTCTTTGGAACCATGATGTACATTTATTACAAAGTGCGCGTCATCATTCAAGGCATAGTTTTTTTTTTTTTTCAAAACCTCTGAAGAAGAACGAATTTTTTGCTAATTCATGTTACATGCCTAAACATTCTAGATAACTGAAGTTACGAAGTGGTGTTTTTATTGGTGTGTCTTTCGCAATCGCTCTCACATTGTCTCAACGATGAATGATCTGTTAAACTTCTCGCCTCATTATATCATCATCAATACAGGTTAGTCATTGCCACGATAGCCCTTCTGATAGTAAATCACGGATCGCCGATAGAAGAAGGTTCCACGGTTAACCTTGGGACCAAAATCGTTTTCGTGGTTCTTGTTCTTCTCGAATTTTTGACACTCGTGATCTGGGCGATCATTCGTTTCGCATATCCTCAAATCGTAAGAAACGCCATTTGGTTGGACACCGTTTGGTGGTGGATGATCAAAGAAGCGACCACCGAGAACGTTGAAAATAAGGCTGCAGGTTGTTTTCGTTATTTTGCTTGGGAGAGTTATAGTTTTTGGTTTCGGCATGGGCACGTGACCTACGTAGGAGAGGTGGACGAGAATGGTTGGCCGCATGGGAGAGGTGAATGGGTGGACGATTCTTTTGATGGAGAGTGTCTCAAAGGTAATGGCATCCATGACGCACCCAGGACTCCGTAACTATTTCCACAACACAAAGTAACATCCACTGATTCTTTATAGGTATTTGGGAACATGGTGTGCCTGTCGGTCCGTTCCAAGCAAGGGCTTCGGGAACTGGAGATGCGTTTCACGCCATTCGCGTTGGTTTCGTGAGAAATCGTCACACGCCCTTTGGAGAAACGAGACTTTTTCCAAGACCTTTTAAAGGCGGCCTGGATATTGGCGTGGCAACGGTTGAATGCTCGGTTTCTGGAAAATATCTGAAACACCTTCCAAACGCAAACCTCATCATTCCGCAGGAATCTCTCTCTGAAGTCTATTGTAACAACATTTCCGATGGTTCACCCGACTTCGCATCGAAGAATTCACCATCGTACACTTCATTGATCGAACATTGCCTTAAAAATATGACCAGATTCGGAGTCGCGATGGGAATCAAAGAAGAACACATGGTGGTCATACGCTTTGATGATGAAAGATATAACATTACGGGATACCATCCTATCGGTGACTCCGCGTCAAGAGACCAAATCGTTGTGAGGAAAGTGCCGAAAATTAGAGAAGAGGAGTTGAGCAAAGGTTCGCTGGAGAGTATCGAGTATACTTTGGAAATCGACGGATGGGAGCAATCGAATGGTCTTAACATGACATATAAGGAGTGCTTAATTTTCATACATGGGTTTAACTGCTCGACAAAATATGCAATGGAGACGGTCGGTCAGTTTCTAGCCCTTGCCGACCTTCCAAATTACATCAAGACATTCGTTTTCTCGCCGCCCGGAATAAATGCGCTTTGGTATTTTAGTGCACGAACTCAAAGTTGCACCGATCAATCCGTTGATGGTAATATCATATTTCCAAGGTGACATGTTAACGCACGAAACGGGATTTGGCACTTTGCGCTAATTTATTTACCGATTTTGATGATTTCGTTAATTAATAACTGTAGAATTTCGAATTTTCCTACAAGAACTTCGAAATTCGGGATTTCAAGCGGTGCACATGTTATGTCATTCGATGGGATGCAGGGTCGCGCTCAAGTATGTCGAAGCGTTCGAGAAGTTATTCACTGTACGCCACACCTCACAACAAAATCTCCGACCGGACAACTCACCTGAAATCACAGAGTCCAAATCGACCCTTGATGAAGACCCCCCAACCATGAAACTCTCGTCCGTAACCCTTCTCAATCCCGACGCATCTTTGGATTCATTCGCGAGCCACGACTACCCGCAGCTCTACAAATATTGCGATCACATCACCGTTTACTCCAACTCCCGAGATTTTGCATTAAAAATGGAAGAGTTCTTTAGTAGATCCCGATCCTTGGGTAGAAAAACCGACGATATCTACCACAATGGAGGGTTGATAGATGTTGATTTGATTGATACCACTCAATTGGATGTGAACATCCATAAGATGAGACATAACTTTTTTAATTTGAACAGATTGCTGGTAGATGATCTGTGTGACATCATCGTGCTGGGGAAAAGAGCGAATGAGAGGAAGTCAAGGTTGAGTAGAAGAGAGAGAGGCGGGCGAGGAGGAATGGTGTATACATTTTTGGTGGCACCAAGCTATGTCGTTAATAAATAGGATGGGAAAAGTGCGCCGGATATTTTCACCACGGTTCGAGACAAATGAACGCGCGAAGTGCTTCTCGAGAATAAGGACTTTCTTCATCTTAATTTTCTACACAAAATATTTCATTATTATAATCACTTTATGTCAAACACATGCAACACTTCGCATAATCAAATTTTTTATTTAATATAATGGTATCATTGATCATTTCTCATCTCTTTTTATTTATTAAGTATTAATTACACATACTGTATTGTTCTTTGCTAATAAAAAAGGTGAAATGTTAAGAGCAATTTTAATCTGTGAGCCGCAATTGTCGAACCGAAATTTTTGTTTCACAAAAAAAAAAAAAAAAAAAAAAAAAAAAAAAAAAAAATGAAAATCACGAACCAAATACCACTAATTCCAATCCGGCTTAGTCAATTGTCTTTGTAAAAAAAAAAAAAAAAAAACGTTCGTGATTTTCATTTACAGCATAAGAACGATCGACGATCGATTGTGGTTTATTAGGTATTTGACTTGCGTCACATGCTATTGATTAGATTATCTGTAGGGATAATAGTAGAAGGACAATGATATGATGGCATATGTAGCTAGCAACATAACACCTTCCAGCCAATTGGATTTACCGTCCTAACAAAAGGAAAAGGTATTATTGTTGAGGAAAGAAAATCGAGCGAGCGAATAATTGATCACTATGCCCTATGCTCACCAGAATGAGATAATTCGTTATCAGAACCGAAATAAACATCACAACGGTTTCAAACGTCTGGAAGTATAAGGTGAATTCCTGTCCTATAGTCCATCCGAACAAAACGAGGAATGGTGTGATGAAGAGTGCGATTTGCTGGGCAACGGATAAAAAATTACTACAACATTCATTTATTGAGGTCATAAAACAACATGTAGTAATTCGTAAATCATTTACCATGGAGCTGCCGGCGGCAATTCTGATAGCAAAATCCATCTTATTTCTTGTTGCAGCGTTGATGGCGGTCGTAAACTAGAGAATATGGTCGCATCACGCGCGTTAATGGATGAACTCGAAGAAATTCTCGCGAGCCATTATAATTACCTCAGCAGCGTTACCAATGATTGGTAGTAAAACTATGCCGATAAAAGTTTTACTTAATCCGGAAGATTTAACAATTCCCTCGATCGAACCAACCAAATATTCGGCAAGAAAAGCCACAATAACGGTCACAATGATAAATAGAAATAATAGTACACTAAGAGATAATTGAGCTTCTTCCTCCTCCTCCTCTATATGATACAAGTTCGCATGCGTTTTCAACTAACAAATGGATGAAAGAAGTTGAGCTTCATGAGCGATTGGAGTGATAAAAAACCGAACCGAGATACTCTCTAATTACACTTACTTGAAAATAAAGGTAGAGAATGTATATCAACAACAAAACAATCGCGGTTCCATGAGACAATTCTATAAGTCCCTCGATATTTCTCTGATCCTCTATCCTATTGGCACTGCTATCAACTGAAAAACTAAAAGCCGCGGGAATGACCAAACCGATGCACGCCAAAGTCATCAAACTCGAAGTTGTTTGCGCGGTGGTTTTATTAAAGATCTGTTGACTATAAAAAGTTCCTCCTATAACAAAGCACATCCCTATTATTAACAGCAAATTTGAAATAATTGCACCGAGCAGCGATGCTTGAACCACACGGATTTCTCCTTTCGACAGCGCTATTATGGAAACAATCAATTCTACCGCATTGCCGAATGTAGCGTTTAACAAGCAACCAATTGACTGGCCGACCCTCAGACTAACGTCTACCGTTGCAAAGTCATATAATTTGGATAGCGGAATTATGGCCAAGAAATTTAATATGAAAACCCATGTATCATTCCATTTTAACGTGTGAGCCATCCATCCAAGTGGTACGAAAATCAAAAAATAATTGATCCGTGAAGACTTGAGTATAACCACGAGAGATTTGCCTAGGGTTGGTGCAGGCGGCAAAACAAGAGGTTGTGGTTTGAGAACGTCATACGCGTCTCCATTAGCAGTTGAACCGTAACCTGGATGGCTTGATGTCATATCGATAAAAAAAAAAAAACAAGGACCGAAAAATTACGAAGAACAAGGGAGTTATTTATATTCGATCGATTATCGAGACAGGTGTATTACGTTTTTGGATTGGCGTAGCCAATGAAATCCCAAATCACGAGGTCACTGATTGTGCGTGTATATGCATGTGAGACATCGCGTGTAACTATGCGATTCTGTCAAACTTAAAAAGGTATCGCGCAATTTTTTTTTTGGTAATATTAAGCAGATAGTTTAGCCTCCTGAAACTTGCCGAATGATTTTTAAGTCAAACTTGCCCCGTTGACGAGCCGATTTCGAACATTATGTGCCACTATCGGAAAGCAACAGAAAAAATCTATCTAAGGATTTAATTGGGTGTAAATAAGTAAACAATACGGTAATAGCCGAATTACAATCGATATAAATAACATAATAATAAGCATTATTGCATCACAGATTGCTGGAATTAATATTCGATCAAGTATTCATAATTCATAAAAATTACTACTAGAGTTAAATAGAATTGAAATTTGATTAAATAAAGTATTTATTTATGATTCATAAAAATTGATTTTTTTGTCAACTAAATCCTTGACCGGTAACAGAGCGAGTCAAAGAATGAGCATGAGTGAGTTGTGCAGAATTTTGCGAATGAATAATATCGCAGTTTATTACAAGAGTGAGGATCAAAATAATGCAAGTTTGTTTTATACATAGCATATATATGATATTTTGACAGGGATCTGGTAATTTCGTCCGCGATGACGATCTGAATAATGAAAACTTTGTTGAGAACAAGCGACTTTCTAAGGAGTTTTGTCCCGCTCTTGAAGAGTTAAGTATACTTCATATTTTGTTGGAAGTGCTCGTAGATTCGCGGTCCTGTAGTGGATACTCGAAACATAACTTGACCAAGACACAATACGAATCATGTTACGGTACTCCCACGATTCTTCTGACTAAGGAGGCGATCCGCATCCCCGTATCACGGAATCATGTGAAAATTGTGGCAAGGAGTAAAAAATTTAAAGATCGACTCGATCCATTGAAACGTGGGATGCAAGATTCATTGGCATATGATGAATATCTTAAAAATTTTCGCGTAATATTATATACTATTATAAAATTATCGACCAATTCAATATGCATTGTCTTGACGTAACGAATCATTAAAAAAAAAATGTCTTTTACAGATCAAAAAAAAAAAAAAAAAAAAAAAAAAAAATGAATTACCAAAAGATCGCTTTTAATTCATACATATCACCGCATTCGCTGTATTACATCAGTTATATTAAATACGGCAATGGACGATGTAAAATCTTTCTCACATACCTTCCACCCACCCCGCCTTCATTTTATTCCTATAGATAAAGTTTGGAGTTTATTATGAAATGGTTCTTTAAATTCGTTATAAACTCACCCAACTCGTCACTCTTTATATTCCCTCCGCAATATTCATTTTCCAACTCTCATTAAATCCAGAAATTCGTTCGTTTTCGTTAAACGGTAATGCGTTCTGGTTAGAAAATGAAATTCTTACAAGTATTCCTCATTTCCCTGCTTATATCCACTTCATCAATAGTACTTGCAATAGAGTTGCAAACATCACCAATATTTCAACTAAAGTTGATCTCGTGCAAGATATCTACTCCGAAAGCTGTTCGGGATTCGAAAAAAAGACTTGCTATTAAATTATTAAACTTTCAAAATTGTATATATAAAGAAGATAATGTAGATAAATATCATCGACGAAGACCAGACGACGATCCTCCACCAACTTCTACTGCAAAAATCACTTCAACGAGCACATCAACATCTACAAAAATCACTTCAACGAGCACATCAACATCTACAAAAATCACTTCAACGAGCAAATCAACATCTACAAAAATCACTTCAACGAGCACGCCAACTTCCACAAGAATTACTTCAACGATTATGTCTAAACCTTCGACTTCGACTATTAGTTCTCCACAAATTCAAGCCATTGGTGTCGTTGATGTAATGGAAGACGTCGAGGTATATGGTGCAAATTTCGATCACCGCTAGATAGTAGCGTTTTACAAATATTTACTCAAAAATACTTTTAACTACTTCTAAATTCAGTGGGTGGCGCAGATTTCGATAGGCACACCACAGCAACCATTCCTCGTCAATATCGATACTGGTTCATCAGATTTCTGGGTTCCTGCCGTGAATTGTAGAAGCTGTGGAAATCACAGAAAGTTTAATCCTCAACAAAGCAGCACGTTCGTTGCCATTGGTTCACCATTTAATATTCAATACAGTGATGGGAGTAATTCTCATGGGATGGTTGAACAGGTAACTGCCCTTTTTACTTGATTGTTATCATTTCTAAGATCTAATTTATGGATGTGCATTTCGCTAAAAATAGGATACACTGCAGGTTGGATATATGAGTATAGCTAAACAAAGATTCTCTATGATCAGTAACATGAGTCCGCAATTTGTGGCCGACGTTGTTGATGGCATAATGGGGTTAGGTGAGTTGAATAAAGCATTTTCAATTCTCAGAACATGAGACGCGCGAAGTTGAAATGATCTTTCTAAATACAGGCTATGATTCGCTATCAATGGTCCCCGGTAGTGTTACACCTCTTACCAATATGTTAAACCAAGGATTGATACCACATGCAATATTTTCAGTTCAACTTCGCGCTGATCGTGTTAATTCTTCCTACGGAGGCAAATTTATCTTCGGTGGAATGGACACCACACTGTTCACAGGTCCAATAACATATACGGCTGTAACCAGACAATTGTATTGGCAAATTACTATCGACGGAGTCGAAGTGAACGGAAAAATCATAGGCGGAACATCTCAACAAGTAATTTTGGATTCAGGAACTGCCTTAATGATTCTTGGGACAAGTGTGGTTAGTGCTATCATTAATAAAGTTGGAGGAAAATATGATAGCAATACCGGAACTTGGCAAGTTCCATGCGGAATGGCTAGTGGAAAAAATTCGGTGCAAGTTGCGATTAGAATAAATAATGTAGCATGGGTGATCAATCGTGAGTCCTTTTTTCTTGTTTGTTTTTTTTCAAAAACTACAAATATCTCGCAAGGAAACTAATTGATTTTATTATCCAGCTTTGGACCTTGTGAGAGAAAGTGTAAATCCAAACAGTGCCCTTTGTTATTCGGGACTAGCATCTACAGATCAAAATGTAAGTCAAATCAGAAAAAGGAACAAATAATTGCGTTTCCATATGATGTTCGGAGGCTTTTTATTCATTTTAGTATCTTTATTTCCTAATGAATTAGTTGTGGGTGCTCGGAGGAGTCTTTCTGAAAAATGTTTATGTAAGCATATTTTTAAAAGTACCTTTTATATGATCCGGAAGGACCAAGTAAGGATATATATTATTAAGTAATCTTACTTCAATTTAAAAAACTATTTTATAGGCAGTTTTTGACCGCGAACAGAACAGGGTTGGGATTGCTACCCCCGTTTACTCGTAATCAGTCTATGTCATGTCGTCTGGTTCGCCCCTTGTCGACAATACTCTCGTTTGGACAAAAGGTATGTTGCTTGTTCTTTGATTGACTTTGAATATTGACAGCTCGAAAAATTTACAAGAAAATGTAAAGGGTGTGTAATATCGCATTTACTGCTTATGCGACAATCGAACATAGAGCCATAGATTTTGAGAGAATAAAGATATTTGTTATATTGGTTGTACTGTTGTGGTGCAATTTGACGAGCCTCGTCGCTTCCTCACATTACGCGTCCCATTGCATCTAAACTCCCTTTCCTTGTTTTCGTTGGCGTTTCACGAATCGGATTATTTAATTTGTTGTGTGGACGTTAGCGTTTCTTTCCGACGGCCGCACTAGTTTAGTTCACATTGATTAGCACTTTTATGTACCGTCAATCCGTCTTATAAATTTACTACATTAAAAAAACCATTTACATCAAGAAAACAATATGACATTAAGATTACTTTTTTAATGAATTTTTGCCAAGAATAGTCACGGCGTTACAGTAAAGTAAAGATATGAGTATGAAAGTATTTGGTCAAAGTATATTTTCCAAGCACGGCAGCGCACGCATTTCATTGATATGTTTTCATCGTTTTATGTTGAAAGTACAATATACAGTATGCATTAAATAACATATAATGTTGAATTTATGGTTGTTAAAAAGTAATATAATAAAATCATGTTTAAACATTATTTATTAATTATATTTATTTTTTTGTTAATTTACAATTATGCAACTATAGTATATCTTTATTAATATTATAATCAATATTATATTGAATCAAAGATAAATTTACTATATATATATATATATATATATATTTATAAACACAGAATAGTCAATTTATTGAAATCAAAACGAGGTACAAAATGACACAAGCAATTTGTAGAACTATATACCCTAAGCTGAACAACAAACAATTTGCTACAATTGGTCCACCTTGACCATTTTGCAATTCAAATTAGCCTAGTATTTCAAGGTTTCACTATTTGTGTAATACTAAAGAGAAAGGAAAAAGAGAGGGTGAGAGTGAAACTATAGGATTAGATTCTATTTTTATATTCAAGTAGGGCATACTGTAACATTTCAAAATCTCTCGAAAAAAAAAATACAAATAAGAAAAGTTTGTATTCAATAAGAAGAAAATTATAATATAAAATTATATATTCCGAACTTCAAAGATAAATTCACTTCAAATAAAAAGGTCGGATCTTAATAAACTGGTTATTTAGCAACTTATATAGTGAGAGAAGCTTTTGTTTGATTCATATAAACAAGATGTATTTACTATTAACATACACAAAAAAAATGTTAATAAAGTATTGTTATATATTATTTTGTAATAACTTTCAATAATATTTATATACTGACTTGTTAATTATTTTAGTTTGATATTAAAAAACTTTCAATTTGAGTATAGTATCAGTACTACTTATTTAACTTTACTTAATATTACTTCAGTATTATAGTAAATTCTTTTATATTTCTTTAATAAATTTACTTTTCAATTAGATTTCAATTATATAAAGAAATAAACTACTCTTGTTAAAAGAGAAAGGAAAAAATCTTTAGGTCAATTATTCATATTATTAATTTGATATAAAAAGGATAGTAAAAATTTTTTTTCTCAAGTAATTGTTGTATTTTTCAAGGTATAAGGGATTTATCTCAAGGCTAAAAAAAGGTTGGAATAGAATTTTTTTTTTTAAACCCTCTGTCAGGCTAGTTATATGTGCTTTATTAAACAATTGTAAGCTATACATATAGTATGAATCACTAAAACTAAAACTTTAACTAGCTCACTTGTCTCAGTAATTACTCTAAGTGCAACTTTGGAAGTGATTTTTTACTCCATTAAAAGTTCAGGTGAAGACTCTTCCAACTTTTAATATCATTGCCTACAGGTTACTGCTATAGATCACTCTTTGCAGTTCTGACAGAACTTAAAATCCAATCATTTTATTTTGAATCTAACCCTTTTAATAAGATATCTGTGAAATCTTAATCTTCTAAACTTCCTTCTTCTATTAATAGAGCATCTCTTCTTTCTGGCAATACAATTTTAGGTTTTGGACCAGGAAGGTTTGGAGATCTTTTCATCTTATCATTTCTTTGAATCCTCTGTATTCTTCCCATTCTATGATTTTTTTGCATATTGCATTTTAGACCTTCTTACAGAATTGGTTGCATATTGTACTCTATATCTTCTTTATCCATTTTCTTGCTTCTTTTCTGATTCTTTTGCCATGGTATCTAAGATCTGCTATCTCAAGAACAAGGTTGCTTCTTATCAATCCTGTAAAGAAACTCAATATATCTTGGCTAGTTATCGAAGCTTGTTCCATCAGCCTGAATATCCACTTATCTATTTCTTCCAATTCTTCTCTATCCTCTATTATTAGTCTTACATTTTTCTCAGCCATTTTCTTTTTTCTTTCTTGTAGGAGTTTTCTAAAGTTCTTCAGAACCCCTTCGAGACCTTTGTTATATGCTTCTTGTATCTGTTTCTAATAAGCTGAACATTCTAGCAGGTGATCGATTATTTCTTCTTTATGGAGACCACATGCAATACATTTCACTTGCTTATACAGATCCGGCCTTCTTATTGCCAGCTTACTCAAAGTTGGTAACTTATTACTCATTAATTTAATGAAAAAGTTCTTTCTCTATAAATCTTTGAAAGGTATGTTCCATATATGCCCATTCATTCTTTTCCATACTAGATTCCAAGTGTATTCTTGTTGTTTTTTAATCTGATAACTCCATTTCTTTTCAGTTCTATTCTGTGCTATCCATTGATATACTGTGGTCTTGTTATTTATCTTTTTAATAAATTGTCTTATGGAATCATCTAGTGTCTTGTCTTTCCACTTGATTTCTATAGAAATTTTGTAGAAAGTGAGATCCTTTCATTTTATTGTGGGCAAGTTGAGGGCTCCTTTGGCTAAAGCATCTGCTTCGTCATTATAGGGATCATTGGAATGTGCCTTGACCTTGGTAAGCTTTAGATCTAGATTTTTTTTTTTGATCAGCTCTACCATTCGTACCCATAATAATCAGTTTTTATCTTTTAGCCATCTTTTATGTGTTCTTTTTGGATCATTTTTTTTGACTAATATCCATTTAGAGATACAAGCTTAATTATCTGTGAAGATTTCAATTATGTTATCTATTGAAACTACTAGAAGTATTGTGATTATTACTATTATTTCTGTTCTTATTGATAAGGATCAATTATCTACTCCCATTTGAAATTTACTTTCCTTTTCTACTTCACTAATTTGGATCTATATTGCTCCCATTTTCATCGTGTTACTTCCATGATTGACAAGTGAGCCATCTGAATAGAAAGTCAACTTTTGATTGGATCCTTGATTAAGATGAAGTATTTCTAATAAGTGATTTTAATATACTCATTCTTTAACACTTGTTTTGATGATTGTTTCTTTTCAATTTTCTATATTTACATAGTCCATTTTAGTGCACTAAGAAGGAAGCGACAAGATAGAATCCAATACTATAACCCAATCATCTTGTATTGCTCTTTTCATTGCTTTTTCTAGTGAAATCTTGAGGCTTGAAATTGTTAATATCTGGGCTCTTTTGGTACTTTTCTTGTGTTGAAATATGGTATCGTGTATATCTTATTTATATCTTCTTCTATTATACAGCTGTTTTCTTGAATACAACCTTCCAAGAAACCTAAGCATTTTATCAAATTTGTTTTCTGGTTGTTTTCATTGTTCTAATAGCTATAATGTTGGATTTTTACTTTATTTCTTGTCCATTCATATACCAGTTTTCCTCAAGACAGTTGATGGTTAGAATCCTTTTTGACTATTCATATCTTCTGCCTTTTGTCTCGATTGACACTTGCTTTAGGGTATACTGATTCTCATTTTGCCTGATCTATTTCCCAAGATTCTATAAGCTGGTTCAGAAGATTTCCAGAGAGCAACTTGTTTATAGTTAAGAATCATTCTGAAATGTGACCTTTTCCTGTTTTTTAAATAAGTTGAAGCATTCACCATTTTCTAAATTCATTTGCCTCATTATCAACAAGTTGATCTATATACATCATCTTGTTATTTCTTAATGATGAAATGATCTTATAGTACTCATCAGGTGAAAGGTATTCTTTAATTAGACTGTTTCCCTTTTCCCATTCAAAAATGGCATACCATTTTCAACTATGAAAAGTTATTCTCATATCCTTAACTAGCTTGATTACTTGGAGTGAAAAGTTGTCTTTACCTGAGAGATAATTAAGAGAGCTGCAAGTCAACAGGTTAAGTGGTTCCCAATATTTAATTTGTGCCTATTTGAGCCTTATAATTGTTGTGATCCCTGCCGGTCCAAGGTCATTCAATCTGTTGCACAATCCTGTTACCTGGCTTTCTCTCTGTAGCATCCAAATACTCTTCAAATTGTGGATTTTTGGATGGTGTATTATGCTATTGGGCATAGATCTGCATAATAAACTTTTGTTTTTGAAGAGTTTTCTATATGCTGTTGTTAACATATTGCATATCTTCCAAGACAATATGCTATGTTGCATTCTGAATTCTATTCTTGGTATTAATATCCTATTCAGAATGTAGAATATATTTACAAATTTATTTTTTATTATCAATAATATTATTAAATATATAATTAATTAATAGGAGTTTATTTTTTTTTTGTATACTTATATAAATTATAGTTTATTAATTAATTGAAAATATAATTATATTTTTACTTAAACAGTATAATATATACTATAGCTAAATATTAAGAATATCAAAGAATATCAAAGAAATAATTATAACCGCTGATTCTCATTTTTTTCAAAAATTTTCTTTTTTGATGATTTTCTTGAAAAAAGTAAACCAGTTCAAACATACAAAGAAAAACAACATATCCTTTAAACCTAGCTACCAAGTACTTTCAACACACATACAACAAGTTATCTAGAATCATCAAGAAAAGATGTATATAC